TGGACAGCGTGCCGTGGCTGTGCCACAACCCTTCCAGGTGGAGCATCGTCGAGCCCCCGACCGACAACATCGCCAGGTCGCCCAAGGCGTTCACAGCAGCGTTGGAATTGACGCGGATGACTGTAATGGAGAAATATAAGCTGACTGAAAAGAGTGTTTTAACAGGTGGAGTTTGTCACCTTTGGTGTCGTTGAACCGGAAGGACCCGTCCAGCGTGAGTGTGCCGTTGCTCACCGTCCAACCCCAGCCTCCCTGGAACTCTACACCTGCTGGGCCAGCTCTGTAGTATGGAGAACCACCACCACCATGACGAAATAAGTAATGAACAGCAATGAGCATAGGCGAGGGATCTAGGCACCTCAGTGTGAACGAGTGCTGAATATTGGGCGACCCAACCATGTTATAGGTGGGGGCTGGGAGGTCGATGATGTCTCCATCCTGGGCCGCGTTCATAGCGGAGTAGATGCTGGTGAAGGAGCACCCAGAGGGGCAAACGGTGTCTTTGGGCCGATGATGAACAAGAAGAAGATCGTAAGCTGCAGCAAAGAGGTGCGGAAGACATAGAAGATCTCAGGAGGGTGTAGGTACAGGTGGTGCAGGATCCGGGAGCCACTGCGCTGAGAAGCAACAAGAGCAATGTTGAGAGTATCAGGTTGGTCACCATTCTGTGTACCAACAGAAGAGACTTGTGTGGGACACTGGATGGTTTGGTGGGTTGAGCGGCTGTGGTGGTGCGCAATGGTGGGAGCGCAGGCCAGAGAGTTATGGGGAAGAATGGTGCAGTGAAGAGGCCGGTTTAGCTGACAAGGTGGCTTGCACTTAACTCTGTGACCAACGCCTGCGGTGAAGGCACCGGTTTAGCTGCAAACTGGCTCGGGCTTCACCTTCTATCTCCAGGCCATCTCCCAATACTATAATTACGGAGCACCAGTTTTAACTTTAATGGACCCAAAATGCACCAACCAGAAGGAATGGGCTTACTGTCGGGGCCAATCGGTTTTTATGTCCGTGCATTAATAGGGTCTAATGAGCTTTTCGTGAAAGGGTCTTCTTTTTTAGCCCAGTTGCGCGTTTTGGATAGTGACTTTTTGTGTAACAAGGGAAGAGCGGCGTGGTCGCTGGTCAGGCGAGCTCAGGTCTCAGGTTCGCGCGTCATCGGAGCTAGAGCATGGAGGAGGAAGCAAGGGTTATAGAGGAGAGGATGTGGGATGAGCAGAATATGAGCCTTTTCGCGGCTTTACAGTGGAGCAACTGCGTTGTGTTGCACAACAACAACAAAGAGCTCATTTACCTATTTAGCATCAACTCTTCTGCGGTTGCTCTTTCGGGACTTGTGTCTGACCCCAGCGCCACCTTCATCACATATACCGCACACATAAAGCGGTGTATGTCGGTGGAGCAGGCTGCTGACGGATTCTCAGCAGCCTGTTGGGATCGCTCAGACCACCGAGCATAGTACGCTCTCCCTCTCATCGTTCACCGTTCACCTTCCCCCTCCTCCGTCGTTCTTCTCTCCTTGTTAAGATTCGCCCTCAATGACGCCCACCCTGATGATCCTGTGACACCCAACCGGTAGCCCTCAGTGACTCCAAGTCTGATGCCCTCTGTGATGCCCACCCTGTCGCCCACCAGCTACCTGACGTTGTGACTCTGACTTGGTGGCCCGTGGCTTCGCCCACGGCCTCGGTGACCCCCAGCCTAATGCCCTCTGTGCCGCCCACCCGGTATACAACCAGCTCCCCGACGTCGAGCGCGACCCTGACCCAGTCGCCCGCCGCATCGCCCAGGCCCCATGCCAGCCAGCCCTGTTGGGAGGCGGGTTCTCGGCCTTCATTCTTGGCTCGGCCACCGCTTCGCCCAATGCCGCCACCAACGCCACCCCTTGGAAGTGTCCATCACCTCCACTGGCAGCGCGCTCGCCGTGCAAGGTGGCCGGCGCCTAAGCAGCTTCGATCAATAACGGTCAGCCGCAGGCGTGCGATGGCCGGCCTCACCGTAAGGCTTGCTGTGGTTTTCTTTGGCGGCCTGTGCGGTGTGTGTCGTGCTGTTGCTGTGCTTAACTGACCAACCAACGAACAGGTGGGCAACGTGCAAGCGCTGAGCGGCATCAGCTTTACCGTGGCGGAGGCCAAGCTGAGCACAACGAGCCAGCGCCTGTGCAACGACACGCCCAGCGGCACCGTGCAGGTCACCTCTTGGGGAGCCATCAGGCTCACCAGGCACCAACCAGCTCAACCAGGTTCGTCGT